GCAAGGAAGGCCAACAGCATCCTGGCCTGTGTCAGAAACAGTGTGGCCAGCACGAGTAGGGAGGTGATTGACCCCCTGTACTCAGCACTGGTGAGGCCGTACCTCGAATACTGTGTTCGTTTTTGGGCCCCTCACAACAAGACATTGAGGCACTGGAGCAGGTTCAAAGAAGGGCAATGAAGCTGGTGAAGGGTCTGAAGCACAGGTCTTATGAGGAGTGGCTGAGGGAACTGGGGTTGTTCATCCTGGAGAAGAGGAGGCTGAGGGGAGACCTTATCACTCTCTACAACTGCCTGAAAGGAGGTTGTAGTGAAGTGGGTGTTGGACTCTTCTCCCAAGCATCAAGTGATAGGATGAGAAGAAATGGCCTCATGTTGCGCCAGGGGAGTTTTAGGTTGACATCAGGATAGACATTAGGAAAAATTTCTTTGCTGAAAGCGTCATCAAGCATTGGAACCTGCTGCCCAGGAAAGTGGTGGAGTCACCATCCCTGGAGGTGTTTAAAAGACATGTAGATGAGGCGCTTAGCAACACGGTTTAGTGATGAACTTGGCAGTGTCAGATTAGTGGTTGGACTTTATGATCTTAAAGTTCTTTTCCAACCTAAATGATTCTATGATTCTATCTACTGTGCAGTCAGGGTTGAAATTCTGTGATTTCTGACAACAAATTATACCATATCCAATTCAGAGGCTGTTGCTAAAGAAAGGAGGCAGGAAGATTGTACCATGCTCTCCACATCAGCCTTCTGGACAACACTCAGCCTTGGAAAGGGTAGACATTACAAACAGCCCATCCCAGAGCCTGAAGTTACTATCAAATTCCCCAGTTTCACTGAGGAGAATCATGACATTGAATAACAACGCATTTAACCTGCCCAGTCAGTATCTGAGACATAGGAAGGCATTTATAATGCCAACATTTGGTATGTAAGGTCAAAGTCTGAAAACTGTTACTTAAGTTCTCTAAAAAATTAGAATAAATAGACACCACCAACAGATCCCCCAAAAGACATAATTATGAGCCATATGGTTAGCATATCATAAAGTCACAATAAACTTCTATGCTCTCTCCATTCAGAAGTTGCTAATTTATTAACACTATGAATTTGTATAGTATAGAGAACAAATACAATCTGGTAGCATTATATTACTTAAATGTAAATTTAAAAAGCAAGAAACAACAGTATCTTCTATACTTACAAATAGAATTTTTCATCCCATACTGGGTTCAAGTTTCCAAAAATAGTCTTTGTTCTCCGCTTGGTTTTGCCAACTTGCACAGTAACATATGGGTCACTTGAGCCGGTTTTGTCCTTAGCCTGTAAGCCCTGAGCACAAAGAACTGCAACAAAAGGAGAGAAATGTGCTTTAGCCCTCATGGTCTTCATTGCCAAGAAATAACTGAGACAGTGACAACAGCAACAGGAAAAAAAGCCCTCAAGCTGAGGGCTCCTGAAACAGAGCATATGAACAGAATTTTCCCAGTGCCTGTTACTCTGGAGATAGGCAAGGCTTGCCTAAGTACCCTTCTGGACTGTATAAAATTTACAAATATGGTTTAATAGAGTAATAAATGTAAAACTTCACTACAAAGCACAAAATGAATACTTCTATTGCCATGCATAATTCAGACACTCAAACTTTGGTTTGATCAGCATGGCAAGTAATACAACGTTGTATAACTTGGCGTGAGTCTAATAATTCCCTAAAATTTCCATTTCACACTCCTCAAACAAACAAATAAATAAATAAATAAATAAATAATTTCCAAAATGTCTCCAAAGATCCAAACTAAAATGTCCAAAATAAAACCTCTAATTTTCAAAAAATCTGAATTGTGGATTATGAAGCTAAACATGAGGGGCATAGTTATGTCTGTCATTTGTTTTCCTCATTTGAGAGATGAACCATGAAGATTTTCAGAATTTTTCCTATTCTGTCACAAATAGGGTGACAGTTCAGATCAATTATCATTAGCTGTTTCTGTATTTGTCAGCATTTCTGACAGTTAACGTGGGTGTATAATTAATTTATAAGCATTTTGTGGCAAATATAAATACACATAATTTGATTTTTATCATAATTCTTAAACCCAGAAATCTCAGGAGAAACAAGAGCTGTCAAATAGCAGCCTACCAAATCCAGAGCGCTGCAGCTAAAACACTTGCCATGGCTCCTAGCATCACAGAGCTTGGTTTTATTATTTTGCACATATTATTTAAATCATCTCACTGGTAACATTTAGTTACCATTCTCTAATGTCAATCTTTTTGGATAATGAAACTCCCTCAGTGTGCTCAGAAAAATGATTACACAAAAATGGCACCTTCTTACTCAGCAGATCAGCTCCCAGCAGGGGTTCGGTCCTACCTGCTGACTTCAGCAAAACAAGCCAGTTTCTGTTACTTTTCTACACATCTCGTTCACATCACACACTGAGGGTATTTCATATCGCTGCCTTTGGAGTCTTTGGCCTTTTAGTTTAATCTCTGTTTGTCTCTAATCCAATAGCAAATAAAGTCAGGTTGGCCTGTGTAGTCAGTTGAGCTTTTATTCAGATTTTCTGTGCTGAGGTTTTAATTCAAAAACTGAAATATCAGAGTCAGAGGACCTGAAAATCTTTATGAGTAACGAGGCTAATGCAGTTGGAAGCAATCTTGAGTATTTCCTGGGTGCACAGGTTTCCCTGGCTCAACATCCTTGAACTGGAACACACCCTTAGTCAAGTAACAAGAAAACATGATGAGTTTCAAACTAATGGAGTCTGGAACTGCAAGCTGCAGTGTTCTTAACATTACAGCCATTAAAAACCTCAAAACACAACTGTGAAGTTTAACGCCTGCAGTTGGTGGCAAAAAGTTCAGCAGTAGCACAGGAAATACTGGTAGGAGGTAGAAGAGACAAAACAAGACCATTTTCTTGCCTTCCTTCCTAGAGCAGTGGAATATAAAGTAGTTTTGCTAACAACTGTAATTTAAAACTCTTCCAGTTAGCATGCCATAAATTCAGTCACTTATAGATGCACCAAGTAGGCAACTGAACACACAGTTCCAGCCCTAATTATAATAAATCTTATTCTTGAACCAGGGGACTAGGAAAGAAAGAGCTCTTAGAGCAAACAGTTCGGAAGAAAATTTACCCGTGATGGTTATTTTTGCTGACCATTTGGATGTTCCATCCAAAACACTTTGTTTTGCTGCTTTTGTGTACTGTACAAAATCTTCTTTAGAAATATTAAACATTTCCTGGATCACTTCAAACACCTCTGGTCTATTTTTCTCTCTAATCTTCATTCTTTCCTTCATAGCACTAATAATATTCTGTGTTTTATCTTCTGCACCATGTTTGGAACTTTTCTCAGCAGCTCCTGAAATGAAAGAAAAGGTCAAAACTTTTATTAAAAAATTGCTATCTTAGTACTTTTTCTCCTCTAGAGTCTCCAGCCAATTCTTGGTACTGCAGTACCCAAAGGAGATGTGTGTTTCATCTGGATAATATCAAGCCTCGTATGTTTATTCTTTGTGATATGTAAAATTATCAATTAATTTTGCTTAACGTGACAGCTTAATATTCAACTTCAATTAGGTATGTGGTATAACTAGAAATATTTATTGAATCAGTCTTATTCAGTACTGTGAAAAAAATCTGAACATGTGAGTAACTTTTCCTACATAATTAGGCATACTGATTCTTCCAGAAAGTTATGCAGAAGTGTGCAGTATTGGGGTCTCTGCTTTGTCTTTTGCCTCTGTTACTAGCTAAACTTCAATAATGTATAGGTGAATTATCTTTCAAATAATTTAACATTTTTTTTCCTAAGTCAGCATGATAAAACAGTATTTTCACTCCTTTCTCTCTCTCCTTTTGGAGTAGGATGGTACAAGAAACCATACTTTGTTCATTAGGGAAAAAAAAAAAACAAAATTAATAGAAACAGTATTCAAATGAGGTAATGTTTCCACCTCCCTTATTTTTCAGAGAATTTTTAGTTTGACAGTAAGGACATTAATCTAGACTCCTGCTATGCTCTCCCACAGTGGAAATCTAATGAACAGGAGAAAGAAATAGGCATAGTAGCTTCAGACACTTTCTTGACTGCTTTCAGAAGTATCTCAATATTTGCTGATGGTGCCTGCACTCTTAGAAAGTTTTTCATTCCATGAAAAAAAAAGTTAATTATCACATAAATCCATTTATAGAATGTCCTTTGTCTATCGGAGGAAAGTGTTTCTGATCAATGTCTCCACAATACATATGACATTGAAATAACCTAAGTGTACTCTTGACAAAACCAAATGTCCATCTTGCCATTGGGTGTGGGGAAAGAAACATCAGACTTGTGTGGTGAGAACAGTATTGCAAACGTTGGAAGCAAAAACTTAAAAGTCTCACAGTGTTAAACAGGCAATTTTAGCTCTTGATGAGACTGACATATAAAGCAAGATGCAAGAATCCTACAAATTTTATAGTCAATGTCACATTACCACTTGTTGTAGGTATTGCTGAATTTTAGCTCATGTTGTTAAACAGTGCTTGAGGGCTTATGGCACTAAGCATGACAATAGTCATCATAACTTGCTATGCAATTAGAATTCAGATATTTCAATACTGAAGAGGAACATAGCTCCTTTTCCACAGGACCATCAAACACCATCATGTTCTTTTGATGGCATCTTTTGTTGAGGCACTCTCAGTTTGCAATGGCTAAAGAAGAAATTGTCAATACATCTATAGAGTTGGGAAGGGTCATCTTTCAGCATAAGATCTCTGTGAAGTCTTACAGAACAAACATATTAGGCTTTGTTTTCTTTACTATTTTCATTGGTCTGAAGTTTTCTTAGCACATTGGAGGATGAAAAAGAAAGAGAAAGAGAGAGATAATTAAGTAGGAAGGCATAATGTCGTAAGGTTGGAAAAGTGTGGGATGAGACACCAAATACCAGTGATTCCAGATTGTCAGAAGACTGAATTATATGGCTTCTTCAAGGTGTTTTCCATGGATACTAAATATTTAGAAATTCTGAATAACTCTTGGTCTGAGCACCAAATTTATTTGAATGCAGAAGACCAAGGTTCTAGTGCATAAGGACTTTCCACACTGAAAAATTAGGACTTAGTAGAAAAAGAATTAAATGCTACCATGAAACCAAGTACCAGTTAAAGAATTCTCTAGCTATTTTATCATGAAGGAGATGAAAATGGATGCCTGGAAAGAATGACAGGTAGCTCTTGCAAGTTGCAGGAAACAAAAATTTTTCATGTTTTCTTATTTTCTGCCCTTCCTTAAAAAGTACAGATACAATATCATAACCAAGTGATAAACCATGGACACAATCTGAATGGCAATAAAGTATTCCTGTTGAAAACCTTGCTGATTTTTGAGACAGTACAGATAAAATTGGAATATACGTTAAAATGCAACTTCAATTAAGTTTTACTGAAAAATGTTCATAGCCTCCTGTTCATACTAAATTATTTGTTGCGGCTATTTTTACATCCTCTATTGCTGACAGTCTATCAACAGCTCTTTTCATGCAGTATTGATCAGATTAATTAAGACAATATCGTAACTTATATTGCATAGGAAGTTAACAAGCCCATTTCACCCTTGGGACTGATACAAACTCAGCATGATTGAAATCAATTCTGATTTAATATTGCACCTACCACAAAAAAGGGATATCTTGTTGAAGATGAGAGGTTTAATAAAAGTACTACTGATTTTTTTTAAACCTAATTTATAACAAGCTTATGTATTGACTTTAAAGAGCTTGAGATGTTAATTCATTTCTGCAGTCTATGTTAGCAATCATTACATATAAAAAAAAAATCACAGAAGCTTGGAGGCCAACGTGTCCTAGTGATTATGAGATGGCAAAAAAGATGACTGATAAAAATAACCACAGCGAACCACATTCATTTCACTTTATGATACTGTAAGCATCAGCTTTCTTAAAAAATAAAGATTTAACCAACTGCACTGGTCAGTTCATTTTGTCAAAGGAACGTTATATACTTTTAACATAAATGAAACAAAGCACATCTATTTCTGCTATTTGAAAGTCATGGTTCGAATAGGAATCCAGCACTAGCCCAATTCCTTGAAGAATGTACAGAGAGTAAGCTTCTATTAGATCCACTGTGAGGTGTTCAGGTTTGTTTTGAGGCCCTCCTACGAGGTGAATCCCACATCCCTTTTTGAGAATATCAGACCAGATGAATCCTACATTCCATTTTGAGAATATCAGAACCGGTTCAGTTCCCCATCTCCATGTGTTCTTCCTCCTGGACGTAAATAGTGCTAAATAAGATGTGCATAAGGGGAGAGGTTAACTTTAGAAAGCTGTCTCTACTTCCTCCATCAACTTAATGAGTAGTTGGTTGGCAAGTGACTGGGACATGTACTACTGCCAGCAGAAGTACAAGCTCATCTTCTTTTAACTTATTTTCACATCTCTAAGTCCAGGTAATACAAACCAAGTGATTCCCAGCAGTACTAGGGTGTTAAATGACTACTTAAAACAGGGAGAACAATAGGCTGATGGGCAATTGTTTATTTTTAGCAAGTCTCAAAATGTATCTAGAATGAAATGGGACAATTAGTCAATAAGAGTGAACAGGAACTGACATTACGAAAACATACCTTCTTTTGACCAGGTAACAGAAGTTATTTGCACTTATTGGAGAAGCTACTCACGATTATCTTCTTTATACACTTTTGAAAACTCGCCACCAACAATCATTTAATGCTGCACAATACACTTTTATAATATTTGATTTTCAGAGCAGACATTCTTAGTTGTGAATCTATGTCAAAATCTTAGCTGTCAAACACAGCACAGTTTCAACCATAGTGTGGAATCACAACTAAGTACAGTTAAGCAGTTTGACTTAGAAATTTGTCATTGATTTATGCTCCATGGGGTCAGTTGCTCTGGTAAATTGTGATTAGTTTCTGAACAATATGAATCGTGAGAATCCATCCCTTGTGACAGCTACTCACATAAAGAACGCAGTGGGAAGAAAGAAGACCTGACTGGAATATCTGTATACCTTTCCTACATGCAGAAGCTAGGCAAACACTCAGGAACATAACAATGGTGAACAATACGGAGTAACTCTGGAGCTGTAAAAGCTCCTTCCATTCCAAAATCGGAATATCAGAAAGTCTTCAGGTCTTGATTTTCTATGGTTTAGGATCTTGTGTAGTAATTGTGCTGTAATTTAAGTATGGTTTAAACACACCTCAGATATTTTTGGAGGAGAATGTATGGTGGCTGGAACTAATTTGGCCAACGAAAAACCAAAGAAAAAGGTTGTTTTATCTTAATTCCAGCCCCAAAGGGCTTCCTTCCACATACCTGGCTTGGTATTTTGAAGGGACAAGATCCTATTTACTCTTTCATATTTTTGTCTATTCTATAGGATACTAATATGACTACAATAAGTACTAGATTTTTTAAAAACTTTACTTGGGCATTTCTTATGTTCTGAGCTAAACAAAATGAAGAGGGTTTACATTATGTAACAAACTGCTCTGGACGTTGCCTTAGATAGTGGAAAATAAATAATATATTGATGTTACCAAACATTATTTTGTAACTGATCAGCAACATTTGGCAAGTTCCAAGGACAAAAGCAAAGTAGGTATTTTGTAAAGTTTCTGGCTGGCTTCTCAGCCAATGAACATCAACGCGCTTTCCCTGATTTCTGCCAGTCTGGCCCTTCATTTCAGGAAATACCTGAGTTTATACACAAAATCAAAAGGTGTGAAGCATTGCAAAGCTTTAGCTGTCAGGGAATACTCACTCTGCAAACAGTCAGCATTTAGGAGGTCTTGGCACTTCTCATGGCATTTGACACCACATTCAGTGCATCTCATGCCCTGTCTGGCTATGCCCCAAAGCAGACCTTCACATTCATAACAGTACGTGGGAGTTGTAGCTGTCCAAACTTCAAAGTTATGAGGTGTAGTTGATGATATTGGATAGATCAAAGCCTGCAATGTCTTCTTGAAAACATGTATTTTCTGTGGTATAAGAAAAAAGAAAAAAAAGGACTTCAGCTGAAGTATTGCTTAATACAAGTGAAGTGGAGCTTAAGTACACATCATTACACTTACAAAGTTACAAAATACCAGAACACACACAGAAGTATGAACTAATTTGCAAAATACCTATTTACTCATTTTGCCTTGCAAATGGAGGCGAAACAACCCTGGATGACCATTTTGACCGATTAAAGAAACAATAGTTAAGTTGGAATCATGTCAGTCAATTAACAGAGTCCTATATATTTTTTATATTTTGAGGCAGAAATTAAAATATTCATTAACATTACATTCATTGATGCATTCTAAGTAGTTACCTAATACATTACTTCTGAATATTTAAATACTTCCTACAGGAACTTAGACACACTGCACAAAATGTACTTTGATCATATACAGCGCTATTTTTTAATACTTAATGTCTATATAGTCTCCTCAGCAACTAAAAGTGGGCCATTTTTATGGTTCTATTTTGTCTGTACTCCTATAGTAACATACTCATCATTTCCTTTTTAAGCACCAAAATGCTTTTTACCTGTAAACAAGAATGATCCATACTCTCAAAAATCCACACCTGTTTCTTGGACTGTGTTGGCTTAGGATCCATGACAAGTTCTAGCAGAAAAGCAGTTATTGGCCATTCACTGATTAGTACTGCAAATAACCTGAATCTCAGCTCCTTAGTGATTAATAAGGTGAAAACGAAGCAATCCCTGAAGTCCCTTTTGTGTGTAAAACATGGGCTTATATGTCCACAACGGTCTGGTTTGTTTATTTGAGCTTTGTTTTCAGGCACCCAGATCTTCTAAGTCCAGTTGGTTCATTGGGAATAAGAAAATCTCTGCAGCCTGTAGGCAGCATTTGGCACCACACAAAAATATGACCTTGGTTTATATAATTTTTTTCCGCTAAATGCACACATGGCTGCCACGAGTGTATTAGAAATTCTAGACCTATTCCCTTATAAATGAATAAAGTGTCTCTTTTAGAAAGAACAAACCGTATTAAATGAGGTAGCACAGTGGGAAGCGGGGTATTTCTGAAAGTTTGTCTGTCCTCAGTCTCGTGTGGATATAAAGTAAGGCAGCTGTAACGCTAACTGTGTAGCTGTAGCAAACTGGGGAATAGCATTTTAGAATTTGCACGGTTTGTCCATATAAGCTTTAACATCAGTCCCACAGTTCAGACATACAGAAAGCAAGGCTAACTTATTCAGCTGAGCATTTGGTAACACTCCCATAATTTTAATATTCAGCTCTGGTAAGTGTATGCTGGGCGCAAGATATAAGCCTGTCTAACAACATACTGACATGCTCTTGGGTTTATATATTTGCATCTCTGCTCAAACGTGTGAGATATTCTGCTAATGTTGTCTGATAGAAATAAAATACTGTTTTGTGTGCACATCTGCATAATTTTGCATAAACAGAGCCATCAATTAAAGGACTTTTGCTACCACAGGAAAACCATTACCACGTAGCCATAAATCTACCATAGGTTCGAGCACCACAAATTACAACGGCAAACGTTAAGTAGCTCAGGCTGCAACAACTCTTATCGAAGTTCATAGTTACATGCTGAAAACAACACCCATCCTGCGAAGTCTGGCCAAACCCGTGGGGTCAGACGTTTCATGGACGTCTGATCCTTGCACCTCTGAGAACACTGTAGAACTGAACAAAGAAAAGCAGCTGATAGAGCAGGGAAGACTAAAACCCATTTTAAATTGCTCTCCAGGGTGCTTGCTTAGCCTATCCTAGACAATTAGCCACCTAGTAACTCCCCTGAAAGCATGCAAAGGTTGCACCGGGTTGACTTGGCAGACCATAAGAGGGACTGGGCTAGTCATGGCCACCTAACTTGGCAAACTTCATATTTATGCATTTCTCCACCCTGTCTCCCATGTCACAGCTTACCAGCTACAGGGATCAGAAAGAAAACTTCAAAAACAACCTAAAGTGAATTTATGCAGCTTGTTGAGGAATCATGTTTCTCGGAAACCACCAGGTCTTTGAAAATTCCTTTGCAGATTACTCTCTCTTACTCCTGAGCTTCAGTGGTATCAGTACAAATCCTGCCCTTTCACCCTGCTCAGCTTCACTGTTTTTTTCACGGCATAAATTGTTTTAGAATTTTGCCAGTAACTTCCATCTATTTCTGAAGTAATGAAATGGCACAGCTCAACAAGCCTTGAAATAAACATCTGAGGGTAAACAAAGTTTTCAGCTGAAAGACACAATTTATGGATTGGTTTTGCTGCTGAACGTGATCTTTCCCCTGTTGTTAATAAAGCAAACTGCAATTGTAAAGGAGAATTTTATTTATCTTACAGTCTATGGGCTTTCATTCCTAATGCTTTTCTCTGTTTAAATGTATCTGTTATATGCATCCACTGAGCCCTGCGCATGGCAACATTTAGCACAATTTATATATAGGGGGATTATTTAGTTATCTGCTTATCCTCCAAAGGGAAGTTTATTTCTGTCATATAGCACTTGAGATTTTTTTCACTGTCATCAATGTACTATCTTCACAAACTTGCAGCTCTGTGTCTTAGTTCAGCAAAGCAATCAAATGAATGCTCAACTGAAAGTATATGCTCAAGCCTCACTGAAGTTAATACTTTGGCAATGCTTAAAATGTCTTCGGATCAGAGCCTGAGAACGTACAAGCTCACTGTATCATGAATGCCTTATACCAGAAGGAGGGTAATGCCGGCTGGCAAAGCTCAAAGCATTTAACCTCAGGTTTTAATTTTTGGAGTAGTGGCGTTTGATTTTTCATAGAAGGCATTAGTTCAAAGAATTTCCATACTGAATCCAATCAGCCAAATAACCTGCTTCCACCAGAGTCACTAATATTCCCTCCAGAGAAAGCTGAGGGACAGTAAAAACCAGAAAAGCCTTAATCAGAGGAATAACTTATCCAAAGGGGATTTTCTTCCTTAACTCTAATCGGTGACTGCACCTCTTCATCCGATCTTGTGGGGAGTATCTGGACAGTTCTTGTATACCTGAAAATGTCTGTTCTTTTTGTTTTCAAATCTTGGTTTACTTAGTTTTAATGACGCCTTAAGGCGTTAAGTTCTGCTTGCTACACGCAGACCAAGTAGAAAGGAATTACCTTTCACTTGTCTTAAACATCTTGCAAGTGGTGTACAATGGTACACAATGCCAGTGTACCATTACATTTATCCTCAAAGGGTACTCAGTTCCCTTTAGTATGTCTAGTGAGGGCTGGCATAAGACAAGCTTCTCTTATTCACCTCTTCTCTGAATTAGCTTTTTACATTTTCTCATCAAATGACCTTTTACATATCTAAATTATATTTGTGGTTTGCCTTTGGACTTATATTTTTATTTAAAGATTTGTTAAAAAATATCTTTTTCTGGTACGCAATTTTTCATATGGCCTGGTTCAAATGGAAGCCAAAGAGTACAACAGCATAAAAACACATTCAACTTATTTTTCCCTTTCCATTCCTTCTGAAACATAATTCAGTAGTTTTTTCTGATTGACAGCAAGCGTTGGATAAATGTTTCCATTGATCTCTTCACTGGGATTTGCTGCCAACCTTTTTTCCTCCTGAACAGCACCACTTGAGCCAGAATCTGTAAGTGCAGTCCAAATTATTCTTTCTTGTCCTGCATTTGTTGGCAATTAATATTATCACCAAAACTTGCACCTTTAGCCTTCCAAAGTCATGGCCTGGTAGTTGAATGAGGAAAAGCATGTAAAGGAACAGTTGAACCTTTATTTATTGTCATAAAAGGTAGTAATATTTATAAATAGTTTTATTTGTTTGTTTAGGAGACATCTTTTAGTGAAGCATATGGAGTGTATTAGGGTCTTTTACTGAACTTAGATGTTTGTGTAGCAGCTGTAAAATAGGTAGAAAAAGTCTATTTTACACCCCACACATGGCATAAATTTGTTCTCTATAATTTTCCCTCAGCCTTTAAGTTCTTTTTAAGATTCCTTAGTTCCCCTTCGTTCTATCAACCTTCATTGCTATTTTGAGATAGCAGAACAACATAACTACTGCTCATGCTGAAAGATCATTTCAAACAGCAGCTGTTTCCTATCCCATCAATCGATCCCTGAGCACTACCAAATTGTTCCTTTATGATTACCATATAAGCACAGAAGTTCAGAATAAATCAAAGAAGAGTGATGGCTGCGTGTATACTTGTGCTATGGGTTTCAGTTCCCAGAGTATCTGTCAACATATTCTGCTCTTCCATTCTTCTACTATGGAGCTTAACAACAGTGTAAGACAAATGCCACACTTCATTTCTCTGAATGTAGGATATATTCTAGAAGGCTATGTTTGCACTAGCAATTTAACAAACACATAAGGGGCGTTTATGCCTTCAAATTAGTGCATTTGCTTTGTTCAGACATGTAAATCTGCTTGTATCACACTTCAAGTATTCCTGGAGAAAATGGCACCTTTGTGTTTTTGTTTAAAATAAATTTCTTTTGCAAAATGTATGTGAAGTCAATAATGGAAAGCCACAACACACTGTTTTTACTAGCCATGAGAATACAATTTTTCAAAAGATTCCTGGTCACTTGTATGAGTTAAATATTTCTTCATCTAGAGTCACACATGTTATTCCCAGGAGTTACATTTACAAAATCAAATGGTGTCCCAGGCACATTTAGGGACTGGGGTAAAAAACCAAATGGTCACACAGAAACCTTCTTGCAGAGTCCTGTCACTCTATAATTGGGATCATGGTGTGATTAAGAGAGACAGGCGCTGAAAGACTGCAGGTAGAGCATGGTGCAGCTGGGTAATTTAAAATAATGGTTTCCCCAAGTAACTGTTTTGTAAAACAAAGGTTTCTTGCTTAGTCTCTTCAAACTGTCATGGAGGGGAGTCAGCAGAAGCAAACCTGGTCTTGTCACCATGGATCAGGCAGCAAATTCCGCTCAAGATCGCTGAAAGTTCCTACAGAGTAAATAGAATGCTTATACACACAGTTTTATCCAGTTTGGAGTGTCTAAGGCCGAAATAACTCCTAAAGAGCTTTGAACACAAATTTCATCATTATTTAAATGACTTAAAACTGCCACTGGAAGTACTTACCATTTCATCGTTGTTTATGGAGGTCCGGATGAGCATGGCCATGGAAATACCAGATTTTCGAGCTGCAAGTGTCTGTTTAAAGCAAATGCAAAACTGTTAAAAACTGTACTCTTAACTCTAGTCGTTGAATCTAATGGAAGGTAAGTAGTACTTGATTATGGTATTTGGTTTATGCAAAACTGTAGGAGTTACACAAACTTCTAGTTAACGTTTGCAGCACACAACTTTGAAGGTTTCAGTACATAATGCAAGTACACTTTCATCATCATTACTGTTTCTTTCAGCAGTGCCTAGCTGAACCGCCATTTCTAATATAAAACCTGTTATTCAGAGGTTTATGACTCAGGTTTTTTAAACCACAGGCTGTCACTGTTCTTCCGCTTTGCCAAGCAAATTAATACGGTACAAGGACAAGCATACTGCCCTAATTTAGAAGCTGTCTGTACCTTCAGCAACATGGGAGACCATTTTGCAATAGTCTTATGGTTCAAGTTGTTAGTCCAGATAATTTTTTGTAACTCACTGAGCATTTTTAAACTCTGTGTGTGTATAAAATGCTACTTGTCTTAAAAAGAAAAAATCCTTTGGGAAACGTGAAAGTAATTTTTTTGCTTGAAGACAATATTCATTCAATACTATGGCTATATGGAGAGATACTCTGGTTTTTGGAGGGAGGAAAAGGCTAGAACTCTGTCTCAATCTGTCCTCTTTTGACCACATGATGTTATGGGTATATGAATACTGCCTAGTTCTGAAGACTATGTTCTTGGTTGTAGAGACAATCTATTTTGCTCTAGTATAGTATGTATAAAAGAACTCAAAGCATTTTTAATATACAATAAACAAGGAAATTTTATCTTCCTTACTGCAATATCCCTGTAATTTAAATGGGTCCTTGAAAATTAATTAGAGAGCAGAACGATCAGAAGGAAAAGGACCCTGGGGAAGTGAGTTCTATGTGTTTTCCAAATAATATTTCAACTCTGCTTATCACTTCTGCTAGCAGTAGTCTTTCTGGCCTGACAGAAACAGGTAAGATTTACTCCACCATACAAAATATTAACCATAACACTGCTATATTACTGTATTTTACGTGCAAAATTTGGGTCATCCATCTTTCCCCTGTTCTAAATCCTTCCAAGTGTGCCTGTATACTTGTGTTTTATCTCTGTTCTTCCATAATCCAGCATCTGCTTTGTCAGACGTTGCTGCCCTCCTGGTCTAGCAGTGTTAGGATGATCAATTCTATCACCCACTAACTAAGTCTGTTGTTGCCTTTGTTGTGAGGAGGCAGATTTTCACCTTACTGTGAACTGTCTCTGTAGGCCACCGTTATAGAGCTATTACAGCAAAAGTTTCAATGATATTTCACATATGACATTCTTATTTTTGTGAAATACATATTGGGTCAGAAGCAATTTAGGCTTACATCAACAGAGGAACTGCATCATTAGTCTTTGGATGGAAAGACAATTCCAATTTCTTCCCATTTTATAATTTTAAACACTGACATAATTTAAATGGATTTCTTTTTTTATTTAGAGATATGAAGACTGTTAATTTTAATTTTAAAT